TCTCTTATACACATCTAGATGTGTATAAGAGACATGTCTATGGCCAGCACTCTCCCTCACACCACACAACACACAAACACACCCCCACCCACACCCGTGATGGCCAAAGACCCTACCAATACCGACCAGGGGGAGCAAAACAAGTCATGTAAGATACTGAAACCTTACTTACGCTTCTCCCTGTTCTGGCCGGGAGACCCACGACCTTGGCCAGTCCTCTCTGATCAGCAGCATTGGTTGCTCCCTCGAGGGAAGGAATGACTATTGACGTCTGAATCCTTCTGGGGAAGGGATTGAACTCTTGAGAGCTGAATTCTGCTAGGAGCTGGCCACTTTTGGCCGCTCCTTGGTTCGAACCAAGGAGGTTGAAACTACAACTTTCCTATGAGTTTTCAGAGAGAGGTACTTTGCAAGTGTAGTGAGACGGCATGCAAACAAGCAGACCTTACAACTCTTTAACAGGCTTGCTGCACACGGAAGGACACACGAGGCTGCCACAAAAGATGCGATACATGCCAATTGTGCATACACAGCAAGTCCCCAACAAGCATCAAAATGTGCTCTTAACAACTGGCAAACTGTCTGGTCGGGTAGGCCAAATTACTGGTCCACCTGGTCAGGCAAACTGTTGGGAGACGGTTTGTCTTACCAAGTGCCTGTGTCCAGCCAAACATCTGAGCGGAAACATGCGGAATGTATGAAATGCTGTGTCTGGAACCTGGGCAGGAATGGGACCCCAAGAAACAAGCAGGAACCTGAACAGGCAACAAAATAAAACAGCAGGCCACACAATCTCAGTGGTCGGAGCCTGAGTTGGTTAGCTATGAGCCAGGCTACTGGGGCCCAATCCACCTTCAAGGACACGAAGAAAAAAGAGCAGGGGACCCTATGTTGGACACAATACCTACCGTCTTCCACTGAACACAACGCTCCCTCGTCTCATCATGACTGTGACGGACTGGAAAGATAGCTTGGTTACATCCATGATCAGGGTGCGTTGCATTTGGGGGACATACTGTAGGGCCCTCATGTACAGGCGACCCTGTGACACAGCGTATCCACAAAGAGGTTGGCATCTGCAAGCCTTTAGGAGGCTTGGCAACACTGGGAGATGGTTATTCGGCCTCTGCTCTTTAGGAGGTCATTATTATTTGACCTCTGCTCTTTGTCACTACTCAGTGGATGTCAGAGACATCTGATCTCGTCAGTGCTCCTTTTGTGAGGCTCTGTAGGAGCCCTAATGGGCTAGCATTTCTCTAGAAAGACACTGGGATGAGTTGTGGTTTGTGTTTCTGAGTACTAGATTGAGTTGGGACAGTGAAAACCTCACAAAGTAGTTCTAGCAATTGGTTGGGACTCTTGGGAGGCATGTACGTTGATTTTTTCAATTCTCATGCGCAATACTGAGCCCTCCTGAGGCTTGTTACATTGAGTCTTCTTGCTCAGTTGCGCTTCATGTATGGTGACATTGTATGGACTCTTCATGGATAAGACTGAAGTTTCATTTGTGGTAGATACTCAGTTGATCTATGTATCTGTTCAAAATGTCTTGAAGCTCCTTCTCACTGTTTCCATGCATTGTTTTTTGCTCCCTTGAAACTATTGGAAAATTTTCTGAAACTTCTGGATACCTTTCCTCGTTCTTTTGACTTTCTTTTTTATAACTTTCCTCGTTGGTCATGGCATGCATGATGCAGGTGTCACATGGAATTAAGTTCCGGCGCAGGTCTCGTACAATTGTGGATGTTGTCCAAGAGCATTATCTCCGCGATGACATTCCATGTGGAAGTGCTGTGTGTGACATTTGCCATCAAACCCCAGTGCTTTCTGGGACAGCCACTCATTACCTGGTGCGTGTTTGTGTGTGTGTGTGTGTGTGTGTGTGTGTGTGTGTGTGTGTGTGTGTGTGTGTTTAATAATCACCACAATAACCCATTTTCCATCCAGATGCATAGATATCCTATTGTGAACAATGCTATTTTTTTTTAGATGTTAAAAAGAAGGAGATTGATGTTTTGGCGAAAAGGATGTTTCACTGGTATACGTCTAATGGTGCAAGGCCTGTAATGTATGTGTACTTGAGTTCACGATGTGCACACACTCATTTGCCTTTCAGCACACTTGCACATTATATTTTGTCTGCTCTCTTACAGATTTTCATGTGTTCACGTTTAGCAATGCTGCATGGGGAACAGGAGGGGAGGTAAGCAGAGGAGAGGGGAGAGAGGGGGAAGAAAGAAAGGAAAAGAGAAGGGGGGAAGAGAGGAGAGAGAAAGGAAGAAAAAAGACTCATGACAGACTGGCGTAAGATGAAAGATTTGCTGACGGGTTGGGCGGCATAAGATGCATGGGTCTCGAGGCATATGACCAATACAGAAAATGAATGATTCCAATGAGGCGTGTGGAAGCAGTGCATCCAATCCTCACAGCGACATGCACTCCTTCGAATGGCATGCTGCAATGGGTCACAAGCAACATGGCTTCCATTTGCTCGGAACAAAGAGGTACGGCGCCCACAGCCGTACAGACTTTGTAAGTCCAGGCCTTCTCTACATAAAGGACAGGCCGTAAGATAGTGGCATGGATGTGTACAGTACAGAACTCCATTAGGAGTGTCGGAAATATACTTGATTGGACCATGCAGAACGAAAATGCTCTTGACAGAGGGAGTGCTGACCACATTGCAGTCGGACATCAGCTGAATCATCATACAAAGGCGGTGAACAAACAGCTTCCAAGGCTGATGTGCGCGTGTGGCGAACGGGATTGTGCCTGGCCAGCCAGTGACGAGGAGGGCGAATCCAAGTAGAGTGTCCAAAAGCGGCAGAACAGGGTCTGTAAGCGCATGCAGGGAGGGTGGCAGCACTTCTGCATTCTGCATGTCCACCACCTCCCATAACGGGTTGGACTGCGGTATTGGTGCATTATGCAACAAAGGTGGCAGGTCCTCCACGTTTTGCATCTCAGGTCTCGCTTGCCAACTCGGGCTCCACCATGGGCTGCAATACCGGTGCATCACCTGGCATTGAGCGAACAGGCTTTCTAGCATTTGTGATTGGAGGGAGCCCGGCAGGGCAGCTGGGCCCCTGCAATGCAGATGCATGCTGGCAGTGTGGGTAGTCCACATAGTAGAGACACGGTGTCCAGAACTGCCTCCTGAAAGCAGGCACGAAACATGGCAAGCCGCCAGCATGCCAGGAAAATGGAAGATTCATTCAGACAAGGCATCTGAAGACCATGCCGCCACAAGAGCAGCTAAACAGTGGATGAGGTGAATAAACACGTGATGCCGATGTGTCACAATCTTCAAGGCAAAGGCTGGCGGTGACCATCCCCTCAGCCACCTTGTGCTGCTTCTTGGGCCTCCCTCTCTATCCTGGACTGTAAAAGACACACACGTGGTGGTATACACTCTGACTACGAGACAGGTCAGCCTACCAGTCGGCGAGGGGTTGACAGTGGTGCGCAAATTTCTTAATTTTGCGCTCAGAATTATTGATGGAAAGCTCTGAACAAAATCAGGGGTGTAGATTGAGTGCTGTTCTTTTCAGAAAAAAACAAAGGAAAAAGAAAAATCTGGACGGCTAAAAGGAAATCTGCAAAAGTTCGCAGTATTTTGCTCCCTGTTGCTACCAGTAGGCCCAATACTCTTATGGCTTCTGCTCCGGTCCTGGGAAAAGGCGCTGGTTTGATAATTTTGGTTTGGGGTAGTGGTGGTTTGATATCGCATGAAGCAGAGGTTATGTTGTGCACATGGTAATTGAACTGCACCTGCGTATTCACAGAATGACATGGCACAAGAAGGGATGCCTGAAACACTGTCAGGGGCTTGTGCTTTATCAATAGCCATGGGCACATCGGCCGGATCAGCTGCAGGGCAGGGACAAGAGTTAGCTGTATTGTGCCCTGGGAGGGGATGGAACTTGGGTGGCTTCTTGCTGTGGCCCTGCAGCCACATACTAATGTTCCTGGACAACAAGAAACACCAAAAACGATTTGGGTAACTCTTGACAATAGAAAGTAATGTCAGACAGGGTGCAGCGAAGCTAAGAGTTATAGAGAAGGAAGACCATCTAGTGTAGACCTCGTGGAATGGGTTCAGGATCGGAGACCTGGTGGAATGGGCTTGGAACCGGTGGCTTGCTTCATAGATTACACTATGAAAACATGCTATAAACTCAGGATGAGATTGCATCAGATGGATGAAGAACTGGGAAATAGATGGGAGGAACATACAGGGGTGGCCTCCACTAGACTCTAGGACCTCTGTTGGTCACGGACTTCATCTATCACGCTTGGAAGGGTAAGGAGCATGCAGTGGCTTATTGTATAATTTGCTCACCTAGTCAAAGAAGTGTTTGAACAAACGAAGAAGCAGAGAATGAAGAAATGGACTGAAGGAAGCCTGGGCAATTGCCAGGAAGGTGTCTCCTTGGCTGCTCAAGAGCAGGGGAGTTATGGACAAGAACCAAGGCGCTATCACAGACAGTTCCCCGCAGGGCATTTCTCGACAACCGGCTCATGCTGCTAGCACACGTTCACCTCCCACATGACTGATTCTGCTTTGAGACAAACTGCTTTCTGTGGGCAATTTAGAAGAGAAGGTGCCAGGAAACTAGTGAACAGAAGCAAGTCTCCTACAGATAGGAGGAGGACGGTTTCAGATGGGTGCTGAATGGTACAAAACCTGAAGGAAGAATAAGGGGCATCTAGACGAAGGGAAGGCGATCTCGGGAAGATTTCAGCGGACCATACTGGGCGGAAATAAGATAGCAAGAATTGAGGCACGGAAAATTCTAGTCATGTGGTTGTCAAGAGGGAACAGTCAAGACCCGGCGGCAACAGAGGAACCCAGAATTGTACAAGAGCTTTCAGCTATCAGTTGGGAGCCGGTGTAAGGCTAAATGAGGAGAAATGTTTGGGGGAATGTCAGGTGAAATGGGGCTAGAGTTATCCTAGCTGCTAACGAATTGTAGGCAGTCTACTGATGCGGTTACTGAGAGGGATTATTTTGGCGGGTTTCAGGCGTGTTCTTTAAACCACCAGTACATGCCAGCCATCGGCTGCGGGCCCCTTTTGGAGGCAGCCTGCCGTCCATTTATTTAATCGACAGCGCACGAGCCTCCAAAATTTTAGGAGAGGCTCAATCAGACTCTCAACTTGGCTGCGCCCATGTACTTGCAATGATTCGCAAGTCAATCACCCTCAACCTCACACAGACATGCAACGAGCATCCAGATGAGTGTTCACACTTGGAACCGATAGCGGAGACACAAGAATCACACGAGAGATTGATAGGCAAATAATCTTCATTATACAAAGAAAGTGTTCATGTCTCCTGTGGTCTCTGCCCCTCACACAGTCTCAGACTCGAACCAGGTATGTAACGGACTACCACTTCCTCTCTCTCTCTCTCTCTCTCTCTCTCTCTCTCTCTCTCTCTCTCTCTCTCTCTCTCTCTCTCTCTCTCTCTCTCTCTCTCTCT